ATAACCCTGTCTGATAAATAGATAAATGTATTATTTTTATTTGTCCAGCACCTATTTACACTGCTTCACTTCATTTCACTGTGTTCAGTACATCACAGCAGCAAACCCTTGACAAAAGACACATGACCACAGAGTGCGTTAAAAATAATTCATGTTAATTGAATTCATCACATTAGATGTGGTAATTTCCTGAGTTAAATCTGTAATGTGGGCTTTCATAGATCATTTTACTGATAATTTAGTTTACCCATAATTAATGATGAACTAATTTAAAGTGGAAAAAAAACCCATCACAATTTAGTGGTGCTTCCTGTGACCAGGAAACGGTTGAAGTCTGGCTCTGTTTTTTGTTGTTTTCAGTTTGACTTCAGCAGCACATTGCATGTATGGATTTTCCTTACCGGAAAAGTCATGTTTGCTCTCAGTGGTGTGAATTTGAAATTCCAGCACAAACATTGTTTATTGCTTCATAACAAGGATGGAAGGGTGGCCTGTGGCTGGGAATGTTGTTGCACCCTGTCAGGTTTTCCTCTCTGTTTTTCCGTACTGTTGGGAAAAGACATAAAGTATGAGGTAATGAGCCGTCCTAATTTCAGCATCCTCCAGCATTACGCGTGGCTCATACGGAGATGCCACAGTGTCTCCAGACTCATTTATATTCAGGGCAAAGCATTAGATCATTTGAGTGACAGGTGTAGAGTTCAGCCTCAGATATTATATTTTCACTTGTAAAAATGTAACCAGGCCGGTGCAGCCGCAGTGTGCAGTGAGCTGTGCTTCATTCTTTGTTCCTCATCCTCATCATGTGTGTAAACAGGTCTTGGTACATGTGTGTGTGTGTGTGTGTTTGTTTATTGTGTGGAAGAGGAAGGGAAGTGTGAGGGAGTAAGTGCCAATCTCCCCCATGATGCTTTGCCATCTGTCCTTTTCACTTGCATGTGTGTGTGTGTGTGTGTGTGTGTGAGTGTGTGAGTCCTGTGGGTGTGCGAGGGTTTGCGACCGACTACAGGGCCTAGGTCACAGATAACATCAGGTAGTGACAGCATCCGCCTCTCCGTTCATCTGACTAATACACAGTTTTGTTTTTTAAACTTTTCAACTCCAGTTTTGTACGTAACTCTACGCTGCCTGTTTTTAACACGACACACTGTCGTCGCTAGCTTGTACTTACACGACAGTGTGATAACTACAGGAAGTGGAACCTCAGCTACCTCAGAGTGGAAATTGAAGCCATTGACAGATGGGACGAGGAGCTTAGATTACCGTCTGGATAGAGTTGGCTGCTTAAACATTCATATCAAACCACGTCCGTCAGAATCAAGTCAAGAATGTATGCTTGATGAGTTTGGACTCTCCTGAGAGCAACGGACAGATACAAATGTATGTGACTGCTTGCAAAGGCGTTAGGTTTATGTTAACTGTAACTGTATCATGTTGCTTTGCACTTGTAACTATATTATGAGCGATTACAGGCCAATAGGTGCCATATTCAGTTTAGTAACAGCTCGGTAGTACTCTCCAAAAGCAGTATCTGTTACCTACTGTTACATAGCTGACGGCTCATTCCAGCCATAATGTTGCTTTTGAAACTTATTTGTGTCTTCAGACAGGAGTAAGTATTTTAACCGCTGAATCGTTATTTTTAGGATACTAAAAATAGGGGGAGGCATTGAATGGGATTTGTTGAATCTTGTATTTTTTTGTATCCCATAGAATTTACACAGTAACCTAATTAACTTCTTACATTCAAGACAATACTACTTTCTGTTAAAATAAATTATGTTGAATACAATAATACAAACAAGTGGAAATGCATGCACCCCCCGCCCCCCTAAAGTTTCGTGGGTCATTTATCAAAAGCAAAAATCCACAATGAGCACAGTGCTCCAATCAGGTGCTTCGTCTTACAGCTAGCAGGTTGCTGCAGGAAACAGATCCGATCTGTCTTTGAGCGCTCCTAGTTAGTTGTCATGGAGACAGGCCTTATGAGACCATCTCAATCCACTCGTGACCAAAAGGCATCACGGGTAAAAGGGGAATTGGTTGGGGAGGTTGTGTTGGTGTACAGCAATGGGGGGTGGAGGGGGGGGCGGGGGGTTGTATAGGAAAAACAACAAGTCATCTTCGGAGAGACCCGGCACAGTGGGAGCAGGTTAGGTGCCACCTAAACAGTGTTATTTCATCAGCCTGATGGAGCACAATAACTGGTGTGCATTTCACCACCTGAGCTACCATGTCATTATATGCTGCCCTGCAATAAATGGCTGATACATCCCCCATCAATCTATCTGTCCGGCTGACCATCTGTGTTGTTGTCACCCTGAAAAAAAAAGGTAATAAGACCAACACCCCCTGTTGTCTCTCTGGGTGATTAGGGAGAGAACGTTGTTTATCTGTGAGGGGGCTGCATGGGCCTGAGTCACGAGGAGATGTCTGCACACGAAGCCATCAATCTGTGGTTACATCTTCATTAGTGCATGGGCGGTTTTAACGTACGTGTCAGGAGAGAGAAAACATTAAACACCATCAGAGGACAAGCACGAGCATGCCCTGTGAGTGCCCTGGTTTGTTGCCCTTTTCCCTGTATCCGTTTTGGCTGCTCCATCAACTCCCACGGCTGTAGGATGTTCTACGTAATCCCTTTGTTTGAACCGTGTCAAAGGACCAGCATCAGCTGGAACAGCTGCTGCAGCGCAGCCGAGGGACGGAGAGATCTTGGAACCAAGCAGAGTTCAGAGTGCGAACAGGAAGCAGGGATGTGAGTGGGAGTTGGTCACAAAGGAGACGGCTTTGATGGGAATGAAGTTAAAGGGTGATTTTGGTTAGTGTTACTTCACAGCTCTGAATTCAGAGGTCTGTGAATGTTGTCATTAAGAGTAGGTGAGAGGACATATTGTCAAGCACAGCAGTTCAGGAGAAAATGACATTGGTAATCTTATGATTGTTTGAGGTCAGAGGTCAGGAACATAATCACATTAAATTAGTTTTCTTCTTTTTTTTCATTTGTGTACCAGACAACTACTAGTTGTGGTTGTTATATTTTGAGCAGTTTTGATCCAACCACATAAACTGTCAGTGTTTAAGTTGTAATTGTCCTTCTGCTTTGTTGTGGTAACGATACTTATAGGGCTCAACCAGACGAGGTTTATGGTTGATGTCATCCACCGTCATTTTTAACGGACAAGAGGAGTGGGGTGGAGAAAAAAAGCAAAGGAAAAAGATAAGGACTGATGACAGAGAGGTAGATTTCAGGAACACAGAAACTGATACTGGACTGAGACAAGGTATTAAGGTGGAGGACCAGGGCCTACGGTGGAGGTAGAGCAGAGCGGGAGCTTCGTCAGCAGGTGAAAAACAACAGGGAGGGCTGGATAAACTGATAATGATAGCTAGGGTTAGCCTGAGGTCACAGTGAGATACAAAGGCCTCGGCAAATCCAGCTGCACAGGACAGTGGAGGCAGACACCGAGGAGTACCTTAATGTTTCAGTGGCTGTGTGGCTCCACGCAGAGCAGTATCCCTAGTTAGATTAACAGCAGCAAATTGAGTTTCTGTAAGAGGGGAATTTACTTAACATGCTGCCAATGCTGCTTGAATGAGCTCTGATCAGATTTTTCTTATCACATTGTTCAATTGAATAGGCGGACGCTGAAAGCTTTTCTATTCAACGTCTATTACACAGAGCGTTGGAGATAAGGCGGGGGCAGAGTGGCGAGAAAAAGGAGCCCGGATCAGATCGTCGGCCATGTTTCTCAGATGAGCTATTTTTAGTGTAGGAGCTGGCAGACAGTAATGTGTTTGAGCAGGTCATTAGCTAAATAAGTGGTCGGAGGAGTCTTTGAATATGTAGCTCAGTAGAAATGCCGCTTTCGTTTAATGTCGAGTAAAGCTACTCTATTTCTGGAGAGTGTCAGCGCTCAGTGTGTGTTTACGGCATGTGCGCATATTTATGTGCTACTAACAACATCCGCTCTCACCTGTGAATATGTAGTGTCTTCCTCCGAGCACGTGTGTTATGGTGGTGCTCGACTGGGGACGTGCGTGTGTGATATATTGTAAGTACATGTTCACAAAGGATCTCTTTTTCATTTGGCCTCCCCATCTGCATTCTGTGTGGCCGAAGGGTAGGGGGTCGGAGGGGATCGGGGTGGGCTCAGTAGGACTGAGGAGTTATTGACTGCCAGACAGGGAGCTTCTGCAGAGCATGTCTAAATCTCTGTAAGCAGACAGAGCTGAATTATGTTGAAACTTCCAGATGTGTTCTGCTGGCCGTGTTTACTTGAGCAAATAAAGCAAAATACTGATAGAGACCCCCTCGCCCATCTCCATCCCCTCACCCTCCTCCTCTCCAAAGTGTGGGGATTAACTGCAGAGTGAACATCTCTTAAAAGAGCAGTTTGTGATGCATTTGTTGTGATTGAATTTCTCTACACTCCTATTGACCCCTCCCACCCCGTCTCCCCCGTCTCCCCCGCTACCCAATCCTCTTTTGTTTTAGTGTTTTTTCATTACTCCACCACACTCTGGATGTATAATTGCATTAACACTTAACACGCCAGCAGGGCAGTGAAATGTTGAACCATAAGAAGGAATTAGGTCAGAACTAAAATGGAATTATTGGGATGTCAGAGGATGAGAAAGACACTCTTAAAAATGTATCACTGCAGCTCATTTCACGGCTCACTAAAAGGGAGACTTATTAACGCAGACCCAGAAAGCTGAGAACTGTTTCTGTCTGTTTCTTGTCTTGTTTGCTGAGGTCTAGCTCTATTGTCCTGGAATTGGTTCAGTCAGAACTGGTCTGCCTGTAATGTCATTTTACCAGTTCTCCGGCCAAATAAAAAGTCCTACTGTAACACATCTTGAATAGCCTTTATCCAGTAATGGTGCAGGGACTTCACAGTAACCATTTTGTAAGCAGAGCAATGAGTGGCTGTTGAAGTCAAATCTGTAGATGAATTATCATTCCTGATCTTGTGTTTCTCTTCTCCGTCTCTCAGCAGAGTGCCTATCTCTGTTGAGTGAAGCCCCATCTGAATCTACAGTATCTCCAGCCAACCACAACCGGTGCCAGCCATGCATCTGCCCAGGACAGGTGGAGTTCTGGACCAGTCCAGGAGGCCTTTCAACGGACTCAGCCTTAGTCCCTCTTCCTTGCCTATGCTGCTGCTGTCAATGATCCTGCTCTCCTGCCCCCTCAGCAGCGTCTGTGGACCACTAAGTATGACCAACAACAGCCTTCCTTCGTCTCTCCTCTTTGTCCTTCCTTCAGTACTTCTAAGTGAAAAAACATTTGGTATTTTCACGTGGACCATATCTTTCTATCCATACATCTGGTCTGTGAATTTGGACGTCTTTCCAAATTAATAGCTTTTTCTTATATACATTTTTCACAAACAGAGATTTTCTCATTCATTTAAAAACAAGCAAGAACAAATTCCAATCTACATTCAATGACTTTAATTATAAAACCTGACATTGTATTACATGACTGTGTCAGTAATGTGTGTGAGTAATGCCAGGTTGTCAGTACATCAGCTCTGTACTGTGGTGTTGATGTGTTCTGATAACCCGGCAGGTTCCAAGTGTGTTTCTCATCATCTCCTTGATTACAACATTTCCTGTCTCACCATTTGACACAAATACACACACACACACAAATTGAGGCCACATATCCATAATAAGACTGACATCATGGTTGAAACATTTGTTCAGTGGAAAGTCAGAAATACACACACGCACAAAGTATTTCATTTGAAATGTTGTGAGATTGAAGCTCTCAGTTCTCTGGAACACCTACAGCGTGGTCTGCAGAACAAACATCTCTTCTCTCCCTGTCTCGGTCGAACCATCAGTAGAGAAAAAATAGGTATACTGACAGTTATGTCTTTTCCTTCCATCACGGCTTGTGTTGTGTCCTATTGTGAGGGAGTGGGGGAAAAACAGTTATTGCAAACCTTAAACCAGCATCTCTACTCAAATGTGTTTAAATTGCAGTGAGGGGCACAAAGAAAACTAATTAAAAATGAAATTATTGCCATTTAAATATCCTCTGTGTATTTCACAGTTCCTCCAGCAGATGTGAAACAGCTTAATAGTTTGTGCTTACGGCAAACCAAAACATTTAGGAATTGCACGTCATTATGTTTTCAAATATTTATAAAATAACTCATGTTTGGCTTTTGCTATATTTAAACCATTGTCATTTAAAACTCATATGTTGGCATACAGTTTATTTAATCTATTTCTTTTCTTTTTCACAGCTACACCGCATGTTTAATGTATTATTGTCGTTCTATTGCAGATGATTTTTGGTTGCAAACATTTTGCTGCCGCATGAAAATAGATCTCACAGCACAAACAGGAAGAGATGCATTATCAAACATGCTGAAAAAGCCTTGTCAGACCACAGCTAGTAGCACTTAATATCTTAGTTAAGCCTTTTACAGCAAATAAGGAAGCAGTTAAACTAATCCCCCCCCCCCAAAGGAAAGCAATCTAAACAGACAAATGAAACTTTTATTTCTTTAGCTTGACCTGGGGTTCAAAATATTTTTCTTTCACAATGTGTGCTAATTACACCGTGCACCATAGCTGTCAATCACGGGGGCCTAGCACAGCAGCAGTCTGCCAGTCATTAACATAATTACAGATTACAAATCAGTTTCATTAAAAAACAGATTGGTCTGCAGATCTGCAACAAACCTGCCTGGTTTAGAGGAACAGAGTGAAACATGCTATTACTGTCAAGATCCGGAGCTGTACATTAGTCCCTCATTTTACCAGGCAGTTTTCTCAAACCCTCGGGAGATAAAAAGGGTCTGTTCAATGCAGAAATCATCCAGAGTGGATGCTTTGCAGGGGTTCTCCCCGACTTAGTGCCGAGGCTTAAGTTGTAGCTTTGCCCGTGGGGTCCGTTTTGCTAGAGGATTGGTGCTGAAATGCGTCTACAAAGAAAACAGAAAATATTTTGAATTCAACATACAGCTGTCTCAAGCATTGTTCAGGAAGAGGCACGTGGAATTTTATAATCCCATTAGATAAGGGAAACGGTTTTCAGCTGTGGTGTGCTTTTCACCCAATGTTCACATTTTTATATTATTGGCAAGAGTAAATCTCATTTTGCTCCATTCTCTCTGTGTGCCTCGCTGAGAGTCTTCCAGACAGGATATATTGTACTCCTGGGTCTTCGAACTGTGGGTATAAATGTGTCTTTATTAGCAATAAGGTGCCATTTTGCTTTATTCTGTGGAAGCTTATGAAAAAAGAATCATCTTTTTGCCTTTTACTTAGATCTGTTTTACATATAACTTGCATATGTAATGTCACATTAAAATTAATCACTACAGGGAGGCTAAACTGGACAGCAATTTGTTATTTGTGTAAAATATTCATGTATTTTTTAAGGCTGTCAAACAGTTAATCTAATTAATTACAGTAGTTTTGGATTAATCATTATTATTAATGATTAATCGTGATTGAAATTTAGCATTAATCATGATTAATCAGATTCGGGCTGTCAATCCTTCCAAATTAGATTCAGATTACTCATGCTTCTTATGTTAAATATACCAATTATATTCTAATTTTATTTTTTAATTAAGCTCATTATATACACCTGTAACAGCTTACGTCCCACGTCCACTAGCAGTCACTCCAACCAAATCTGTAATTTGCAGTTTTACTAACTCAATATTAAACTTCATGAGGGAAAAACAAAATATTATAAGGTAAGATAATTATATATATTTATCTGCTCTTATAATATGTCAGTATGATTATAAAATTATAATATTGTTATTGCGTCCTGGCGAGCAGCTGGCAGGGCTCGAGATGAAGTGGGAGGTCTGCTGGACCCAGGGCTGTTAGTCCTCTGCTAACAGTTCTGCCTACGCCGAGTTTTACTTTAATGACACCTTGCGTAACTTTCAAATGACGGTTTCTCTTAAAGTTATGTTCCCATTTTTAATGGAATGTTTACGTTTGTGATTCTCAGCTGTTGCAGGTGATTTGTGTTTACCGGAAACAACGCCGAACGTTGCGACGCACATGTTGGTTTGCATCGTTGCGGAAGTTACAACTTCATATAAAACACAGTATTAGACAAAAGTCTTTTAAGTGCAACTGCAACAAGCCAGACGTATCACCTGCAGTCAATGCTTAGAAAAACGCATACTTGGCATTAAAATCATATTTTAGGTGTTAGCTGCTGTGAAACAAAAACATTTTCCCATAGTTTGTGTAAATGTCATTGACTTTGATTAGAGCAGTGGTGCTGTTATGCAACTGTTAGTAGATGGAGGGCAAAATATTTTACATACGATTCCTGTCATTCTGGTCATGCATTAAAATACATTCTTTAAAAAAAAAAATCTGATGAAAATTCACAAATTAATCAACACAATTAATTCATTAATTTTCAGAGCCCTAAGTCAAAATGTACATGTCTTGATTCACACCTGGGATCCTCTTATAACAGGTCCAATCCTCTTACGACCAGGCCTCGGGCTGCCCATGAAAAGCATTAAACTGAAATTCAGTGCCACGAAAATTCTCTTGTGACTTATCTGTAAGTCCCAGCTCTGTCTTTGGAAGCAACTGATTTAGAACATTCAGGGTAAAGCCTTTACAGATGCACAAAAGACAGCAAACACAGACAGAAACACTGTGGTTTTGTTGTTATGTAGCGGCCGTTAAAGCTCCGTAGTGACAATCTTCTTTTTTTTTTACGTCCTATAGATTAACGACGGTGAACAGATGATATGCCGTTCTCTCTTTATCATTCTCGTTGTTTATGCCGTGTCTTCGAAGCATAAGTGAATCACCATAGCAAGACCTCACCCATCCAGACCTAGGGGAGGTGGGAGGAGGGATGCAGGTTGCTATGGTAAGGGTCATCCTGACTTCACTCAGATGGATTGCAGCAGTGCTGTAGCTGAGGAGTTAAACGTGGCTCCATGGCAACAGGCCACAGACAGATAGCGAGGGGTGGGTGCATGAAGTTATTTGATTGATCTGACTCAGCCACTGTGAAAAATATAGGTTCACTTCTCTTGGCTCAATATCGGACTTGGAAATTACTGCTTTCTCGTGGAGGGCAAGTACTGCACTTACACACTCTCTTTTCATATATAAACCTGTGCCTGGCTGTGAGAGATGTTTAACCAAATGTATCAGAATCATTGGGAGACCACCAGAACCTGCAGGTGTGACTGCACCACTGGTGTTATGAGTGTGCCAGCAGATCGGGGCACATTTTGTTATTATGACACTTAGGCAACGTGTAATGTGAATCTGGAGCCAAAACCTTACCCACCTGTGAAACTCTTATGTGTCCTGACAGCTTGTGCTATAAGCAGGACAAGGGTGGTCTGCCAAGGAGAGAGCAAGGAGAGAAAAGGAGAGGCAGAGGCGGACTAGGAAAGAGAGAGAGAAAGAGAGACATAGAGAGAGATGTTCCTCTAAAGCCCAACCCCATCTTTTATTTATGACCCACAGGAAGTCCTTCACAGTGTCCTTTAGATGATACCCAGGAAGTAAGCACAACACACAGTCATCAGAGCACAAGTATGCCTGACCAGTCACTGACACAGGATTGGGGAGTTGTCAGTGGGGGAGGGAATTGCGAGTAATGGAGTTGATGATATGTTAAAGTTCAAATATGTTTTCTCATATTCTTTTCTTCTTCTTCTTTTTCTCCCTTTTACCCCTCCATCCTCCCTCCCTGCCTCAGCCCCCCCTAGGTTCACTAAAATTCCCACAGACCAGATCGGCGTGTCAGGGGGTGTGGCCTCATTCGTGTGCCAAGCCATTGGTAATCCCAAGCCTGTCGTCTACTGGAATAAGAAGGGCAAGAAGGTCAACTCTCAGCGTATCGAGGTGGTTGTCACAGTGCACAATGTCACTTCTTTCTGTAACAGCTTAAAAAACGTACTGAAAAAACAGAAATATAGAAATATATACATACTTATATAGGTCCAGCTTTTATCTGTGCTCATAAATTAATCATTGAGGTACAAATAATGTTGTGTTTATCTCAGCATGAATTTTAAATTTATCTCAGCTCCTTCTGAATTTAAAGCATGTGTCAAACTAAAGGGCCATGGACCAGATTTGGCCCATCAAGTCATTGAAAGTGGTCCTTTTACTGCTCTTCACTCTTCCCTGCAATTAAAACTTCTCTCAATAGTAATATATAATATTAATAATAATATTATAAAAATGATATTTTTTTATTATTATTTACTTAAAGAACTTAAATGATGTAATGTCAATTTCTAGACCAGAAAGATTAGGTCGTTATAGCTAATGCTTAATATTTCTTAGCAGGATATGGGAAATAAATAAACCTAAAACAAGAGACAGTTATTTTTCAGGATATAATAGAGTAGATGCATTTATAGTTTTCCACTTTCAACTGCCCCTTTGAGGGCAACAGTAACGCTGATATGGCCTCAGGTGAAAGTGAGTTTGACACCCCTAATATAAACGTTTGCCTTTCAAATCATCTAGTAAATTACATTAGTACAATTAGATACCTACATTCTGTAACCTTTATACTTATTAGCAATTAAAATAGAGTGAATCACATTTAGCTTTTAAATGCTGGGCAATTTTCCAAACAATCCTGCAGACATGGGTCTTAATATTTTATATTTACTCCAGATGTGGCAGGAAATATGGAGTAAATCTGTACAACAGAAATTCTTATCTCTCACCATTTGAGATGGGCATGTAGAAACCAGTGCTGCAGCTCAGTAGGAGCCTGTGTGTAGAATGAGAGTGTGATGACTTAATGCTTTAGAGAAATTGCCTTTCAGTCAGAGGATCCACCTTCACTGCTGGTAAGTTTCTCTCCGACAGAAATGGTGACAGACACTGACTCGCTGCCAGCTCCGGGATCATGTGTTCAGGTAGATGTTCTGACCTCCAAAGTCTCTGCAGAGGAGAGAACGTGAAGCGGGCCAAAGGCCTTTGAATAATTTTAATGAAATCACCCCTTTTTCTTCCTCAGAAAAAAAAATCAATCAGATTACTCCTGAATCCCTAAATTATTAACCCATACTATATTTATATTTTAATCTAACATCACAGACAGCAAAGTCTAGCACACACTATCCTTACTTCTACAATAAACTGTTTTGAAAAAAACTCAACCAACATAAGGCTTTACTACAGCAGCTGGTCAACAAACAAACGTCATTCAAATTGCAAAATTATTTAAGTATTTAACAAAATTAATCCACATGACTTGATTTTCCTGATTAGGTCATGTAAACTTTTTTCAAAGAAAAGGTGTTCTTTTTTTTATCATGTTATGCATCGTGTTCAGTTTTATTTACTCAGTTTTATTCGTGATTAGAGCTGGTGCATTGAACTGACTTTTACTAGAGTAACAATGTTCTGTTTTGTTAAAGTGTTATTGCAACAGTTTCTTCCATCTGATAAGATTCATTTTCTGTAACAATTCTTCATGCTTCTGATTTGGAGGATTTGGACAGACCAGATTAGTGTTATACAATTGCAGTAAAAGCCTTATGTCAGGTAAAAAATGTTATTGTCCCTGTAGTAATGCTCGTCTTTTCTCTGCTGTGAATAATGTGTCTCCCGGCGGCTGTGTGGACGTCCAGACCATAGAGTTTGATGAGGGTGCAGGTGCTGTGCTGAGGATCCAGCCGCTGCGTGCTCCTCGAGACGAGAACACCTACGAGTGTGTGGCTCGCAACAGTGAAGGAGAAGTGTCAGTCACTGCAAAGCTGGCCATTATTCGAGGTGAGGACACACACACACACACACCTACTACTACACATGTCCATTTTCTCTGAGTGGTGTTAACTCTTCACATCAGCAATCTCATCATGTCATTTCTGGTCTGCTGTGCTGTCACTTGTACAATGTGACAGCAGGTCTGTGCCACACCCTAACAACTAGCAATGGCTTGATCCGATACTCAGCATCACTATCGGTCCAATATTGGTCAAAATGTCAGGATCAAACACCAAACAAACAACAATAACTCATTCGATCCATTAACTAAACCCAAATCCTCAAGTTAACTTTGTGCAAGATGCTGTACACAGGAAGACCATCGTCTCAACAACGTCAGCATGTGGCATGTTGGAGGAGAAAGGAATGTATCTGATAGATTTAGTATCGCCAGATACTTCAAGTTGCAGTATTGGAATAGGTATCGTACATGGAAAAGTTGACGAGTGCTTTAGCTTCAGACAGGGCAAGCTATTCAGCCATCCCGTTGATGAGTGCTTTAGCTTCAGACAGGGCAAGCTACTGTATCAGCCGATGGATATTTTAGCATCTCATCTTGTTGCAACCACTGTGTCTTTTTGCCAGAATCTGGGTCTTTATCCTTGAAAAACACTGCCTTCTAGCTTTGAAATGCTCTGATCCTAAGTTGAGTGTGGACACAAGTATTATGGGCTGTGAACACTGGCCACTGGCCCAGCACAGCAGGAAAGGACACAAAATAAAGCAAGGGCTTATCTCTTTGCTTGTACATTAAAATCAGGGGATTAAAGCTGGAGTGGTTCAGACTGGCCATTCTCTGCCAAGGGGACATTGAGGAAGAAAAGGAGAAGGAGAAAAAGATGTCAAAAAAGAGGGCAATGGCAGGTTGAACATGGGGGCAGGTCGGGTAACACAACACGATGGCATGAAACAATAGAGATAAAGTGGGATGTTGGAGTGGTGTGGAGGTGCAGGAGATGGATGAGGATTGGGGAGTTGGCAGAACTGTGTGTGAGGCAGAAGGCCTGGTAGCCCTGGGAATAGACTCCTGTCCATCTGTTACCCTGGCCCATCATCGCTGCAAACACAGCCCCCATCCAAAGCACATTACCACATAAACTACACCTCCAGGGCGACCCTGGCCGGTGTGTGCGGTGGTGTGTGTGTGCCTGCCTCCTTCTGAGGTCTGCTCACCATGATGTCTCCCGTCCCCTTGGACACCGCACAAGCTGCTGTCTTAATTTCCACTTAATCAACTGATGTGTGTGTGCAGTAAACTGATTATTGGACTGCAGTGATTGACAGCAATATCCAACACAAATCAGCAGCTATATTGGGAGTGTAACTGGACATAACAGCCTCATTTGTAAAACAAGGGGAAATGAAAACCCAGCAGGGTTTTTAGATCAACAACAATGGATGACATTTATGTTTCCCAGTGACACACAGAGAAGGTTTTCAAACACAAATGAAAAATATTTATTTTATTTATATGAAATAACCACTGTTATTCGCTTGACATTTCACCATTGAGTGTATTATTTTGCCACCATTTAGCCCGTTACCTGTTGACAACATACCAAATATTTAATGACCACATCAGAAGTACAGTGGTATCTTTCTGTCTGCACACCCCTCCGTGTTTCTGTGTGGTAATCACTGTCATCAGTCACCTGTGTCCTGTGATTACCAGTTCATCAGTCTAACTCGTGTCATTCATTTGTGTGTATTATTCCTCAGTTCCTGGTTCAGTGTTTTTGCCTGGTTCATGTGAGTTCTGATTATTTAGATTTGGACTTCAGTATATGAATAAACATTCTGCATCTGATAAGTATCTCCTGAGTGCTGCATTCGAGTCCTGTTTGCTTCCTGATTACAGTAAACATAACGAACTTCAGTTGGTTTTTGATGGCAGTCCAAGTTTTGAATCATCAGAAATCTTTGCCTGCAAAACAGTAGTACTACCCTCTGATAAATACATATATATAAATGAAAAAACATACAACCTGCCTCTGGTTCATAAAATATCGTATAAATGGAAAAACACAACCTGCCTCTGGTTCATAAAATATCAGGAAAAACTATAATATTTATATTGAGGCCAAACATGTTCATAATACATACGCAATTTTAAATATTATAATACCACTGTGTTCAAGCTGTGTTGTTGTGGAAAAATTCTTTGAAATTTGAAATTCTTTAATTTATTTTAAATCCTCCACTGTCCCTAAATTTCACAAGAAAATAAGCCAGAGTTTATGTTCAATCAGATAAACATATTTAAGAGAATCAGTGTGACTGTTCTGCATAACGATTGTAAAATGATAAATAGTGCCGTTAGTCTGTTAGCAGAAAAAGCACAAGCTCGGAGAAATAATGGGACATTTATCTCTAAGTGCTTCACTCACGATATTGCTCTATTACTGAACAATATAAATGTAGTGTAATGCTTCTTGCCGTCTCCCCCCAGCCGTTCATCCCTGCGTGTGCTGTGTTTTTTAGTGTAATTCACTGTGATAGCTCATGGTGTTGAAGATTGCTCTTAAGTGCACAAAAGTGTGTAAAAGTTGCGTTTGGGTCAAATTGTGTTAAAACACAGTTTGTGGGATAAAAGGTCTGTCATCTGATGCAGAAAGGAGGCTTTCCATTATTGACCAAATCCTGCTTCTGAAGAGTCTTTGCAGCCCCATCATGCGCTTCATTTCATCATTTTGTATAATGGTTGACCGACGCTAATAGCAGTGTTGTGCAGTGTGAGAGATTTGTGGTCCGCCACAGGATATGAGCTCCTACTCCTTAGGTGGTCCTAATGGACATAGATATGGTAGGTTATGGTCAGGGAGCTCTTTGTATTTTTGTGCTTTTGCCGTCATTATCGTCCTCCCACATCAACCTCCCCCTCCCAACCTTCTCTTCCCTCTTTTTTCATTGAGTCTAGCAGCCCCACTCAGAGGTGTCTCTGCCTCATTCCGCCTCTCTTGTTTTATTCATTCTTTCATTTTCTGCGTCATCTGTGCCTGACTTTCAACATTGTGTTTATTTTCTCTCTCTCTCTCTCTCTCTCCATCGCTCTCTTTCTATTTTGCAATTTTCAGTCACTACAACCCTTTCCTTCACCTCCAAACTCACTCCATCCATTCCCACTGCGACTGCTCTTTTCTATGGAAAAGCTGCAGCAGTTGTGCTGTTCAGCTTTTCAGAAGGGAATATTTGCCATTTTGCATGGTGAAAAAAAAAAACCTCTGGTGAACGAGAGAATCTCGACTGTGCAGCAGCGTGTCCGTACGACTGCGCGCCTCTGTGAAATCAAAGATGTGAAATACTTCGTTGAGTACATCTGTGTGTATTACTGTGTGTGTGCCTGATTTATGCAGCGTAATCCTGATTATACTTACCTCCTGGTGTCCCAATTTAGGAGGAAGGCAGGCAGGGGGATGGTGGAGGGTTAGAGAAGGATGGTGGAAAAGGAGGAGAAATGTTTTGCCCCTATAGTAAACAGCCTTTATAGAGTGAGATTAGTGATTTCCCTAGGCGTCTGCTGCTTTGGCAGACTGATGGCTCAAGTAGAATTTTGGTCTGGAAACAAGTGAGAGCATCATCTTTGCCTGCGAGAGGATTACACCCCTTGAGTGGAGAACATGCCCTTTCATCACGTATACATCCTTATCTTCCCTGCTCTGGAGTCTCTTCTTTCGTTCCTCCCTCTCAGTCTGTTCTTCATGTATGTGTCTCTGCAGTGTATTATGTGGAGGATTACGGTCTTTAGTGACTTTAGCTGCTGCATCTGGGAGGAGAAAGGGAACAGCTAAGGGACGGTGGGGACTTTAGGCAGGGAATGATCTGCGATGCAAAGTCTGATTCTGCATTGTATTGTGATCTATTATCATAAAGTCCCATTAGCATTTAAAGTGCTCCCCTTCAGGCCTCCTGCAGTCTATAGGAGTCAAAGCATTACAGCCACTGAAGAATGCTGAGCGCTGGCAGATTAATCCTGAATCCGGCTTCCCGAGTTCACCTTCTATTTAGGCCTCTTTCCTGCACTCGGCCGTTTCCTGCTGTAATGAACGGGTAGATAAATGGCCGACCCGTTTCTAACCAGGACAAATGATCAGTAACTGAGTTTGTGAGCGGACTTTTGAGGAGAGACAGAGATAGAAAAACAATCCATGTTTGTTTGTTTGCATCATACGCCTTATGCGTGTGAATTTTCGTGCCAGCACAGTATGTCTGTGTGTGTTTGCCTGTGCACACATTGATTGCATATTTACCCAGATTTGGTTGGCTCCATCAATCGGTTCCAGGCTCCAAGCCCGATTGCCCTTCTGCAAACATAACCAGGCCAAAATGTTCAATATCAACTACTTAATACACACAAACACAGAGCTGGGGGGCGTGCTACTTGCCGCTTGTGCCAAAGTTTCCTCAACGCTGTCGACATGTTCACTGTTTACACGCGGTGCGATTTTCCACAGGCTGTCTTATCAATTTAACCAGGAGATGAAATAAGTGGTACTCTTCCACTGCAATGTTTGTTTTTGATAAATGATTCATTTGGTGAAAAGTGTGATGAAGCAGCGCCTGCAGGATCTATTTCTGGCGGCGGCTGATTCATCCTCAGTCCTGGCTGAATACCTCTGACTCCATGTCCTCCTGTAGGATGGCCTCGTGGACTGTCTGTCTGCATGGCCATCTATCTTCCCGTCTGTTTAATCCGTTCATTCGTATTAATTATTAATTTTGTCAGTGGCGGCCCTGATGACAGTGTGGCTGACTAGCTATATATATCACAGCTGAATTGTTCTGAGAAGCTGATGTGGCTGACAGAGATATTTTTGTGATTGTTTTTTTTTTTTTTTTTTGGAATTTTTACCCTATTTACCTATTTGTCACAAAGCCCATCCTGTATCTAACAATTTAATGCAAGGTCCACTTTTCTATATTTGCAAGACGAACCTGTCAGAAATACAGACACACATTCACACACACACGCACACACAGACATAAGCCTTTGCAGTAATTAGCACTGAGTCTGTGTATAGCTGAAGCTGGCCGGGTGATAAAAAAGAACATCTGAACCCTCTCAGGAGAGAGATGTGAGGTTGGGGGGAGGGCAGAGGGGAGGTAGATGGTGTAGCATTGGGAACTCACCTTTTGACCTGCCTATCAATTCCCTGTGCATCTCTTCTTTCTTTTCCTTCCACGTATCATCAATTGGGGAACCACAACTCCATTCACGTGGATCATTATCATTGATCAGTCTCAGACAGGCTAGGATGAAGGCAGAAGGGGTTACGGTGGTCACGAAGACACACGGGGCCTGATCACCACCTGAGATCACACCATAGACTTTAAATTAGGCCAGGATCTATTTGCATTGCAAATAAGAAAGTAAGGCAGGTCAGTGATGTCACATCACTTCACAGACTAGGCCTAAAGTTATCCTAGCATAACAAATAGTACGTGATTTGTGAAAAGAGACAAAATCATTACTGTATACAGTCTCAACAATGAGATGTCATTTTTTTAATCGATGGTCCTCTAAGCTGCAATAAGGTGAGGAAAATGACAGAACTGCATCGGGCCGCCATGAACCTTCAAGCTTTGACAAGAATATGTGCAAATTCTACATACTTTACTAACTGGTGACTGGTGGTAATGTTCAATAACATTGTTGCATGGTGGAAGGTCATATTGTTTTTGTCTTTAATTTCAGTCTAAATCAGATTTTATTTACCATATTTGCATCATGATCCATGAAGAAAGACCTGAACCCAGTGATCGAGGCTTTTAGAGCCCAAAGTAAATGTGAATAGATATTACCAACTGAGCACTTTCAGTCTATTTCCAGGGCTTTGTTTCTGCAACCAGATACCTCGTTCCATTTTTCTATCGATGTTTCCTAGCTGTAATCAAACATTCAAAAATCTAAAAGCATCCCCACACGCTCATGGAAGTTTTAAATTCTCACTGTCACGGTTCCTCCTCCGTGCTGCATCTGCATGAAGAAAATCAACATCTCTATGTGACATGGTCTCTTCTGTGCTGATGACTGTGTAAAGTGAGAAAGGGAGCAATAAATCCCATCTCCACTCAGGCTCTCATCCTCACAGCAGAGTGTGTGAGACAGATGGTACGTGTCCCTCACGTGCTTAAGTCACAGTAAACTCGGAAAAAGACGCAGGAAAAACAACACACATACACAGTTTCTGTGGTCGCGGTCTGCTTCCGGCCAATGATTTATCAGTGACTTTTAGCAGCTGTTGTGACCTGACAGTTTAAAGAGTTGTCATTGCTATCTGCCTCCATACTGTAGGTAAATGAAATGTGTGATTGTGGCATCAGGTATGGGGGAGGTGTGTCTGTGTCTGTAGCCAGAGACAGAGTGGTGAAAGGTTAAGGAGAGCAGGAAGCAGGAAGGCTGATGGATGCTTGATTACACGTCTGGCCATCTGGACCAATGTCATGGAGATGCTTAATCCCATTCACTGGAGAAAGTGTATGTGTGTGTGTAGGTTGCGGGTGTATGTGCGTGCATGAGTGTATGTGCTAATATTCATTTTGTTGCAGAGTCTAAACTGTGTTGGTTTCTCATCTGCATATGTGTTATTGTTCCTCCTTATATAACACCTTGCACCAAACTTGTGAAAATAATAATAAGAGTCAAGCTGTTATGGATAGTTCTACGGATACTGGATAGAACATACACCAAAGTCACGTGCACACACATTCATCCACTGCCTTCTAAGCATTCAGATGCATCCAGACACAAACAGGCACATCCCTGATCGGCCTCTCTAATCATTGGTACATTTTAACAATTACAGCTAACAAGTCCTTATTAGCCCCAGTGCCCTGCCCCTCCTCTTGATCCCGGCGTCTAATTGCTGCTGCTGCTTCTGAGGAGCTCTCTGCATAGTTATTAGATAGGAATCATTACCAGTTCATAACACAGACCGACAAGACACACACATGGTAGAAAAACCTGCAGCTCACTGCCACCAAACACCTGTGTTTCTATGTTAGGAACCCTGTGTGATTCGGTGTGTGTGTGTGTGTGTGTGTGTGTGTGTACATATCAGCACCTTGGAGAACTCCTGCTGATTAGGCGGTATGTTTATACTGCTGGAGAAACAGCCTGTCACACACACACACTAAAAGTGACTCTTCTCCTTCCTGCCTACTACATCACCTAATGCTCCACTAGAAAGGACATGTTAGAAATATACACTGGGTATTGTTCATGAACTGTACTGTAGATCAACTTCTGCAGTGTCTCTTTAAATGCTCCAGTCCATGAGTTGAGTGCACAATAGTACAGCAGTACAACAGTGATGTTATGTATAGATCAGTCAGACCTTGTGTACATCAGTGATACATTGAAACAAGTCATTTGTCACAACCAGAAAAGCTGGAGCAACAACAACAACAACAACAACAACAAATCTGCTTTTACCACAATATTGTATTATTATAATGGTTTATTCTTTTCTCAAGACATGTTTTTTTTCTTCATCTTTACAGAGGATCTGCTGCCATTCGGCTTTCCCAGTATAGACATGGGTCCCCAACTGAAGGTAGTGGAGCGAACCAAGACAGCCACCATGCTGTGTGCTGCCAGTGGTATTCCTGACCCAGAGATCTCCTGGTTCAAAGACTTCCTGCCTGTGGACCCCAGCCTCAGCCAGGGGCGCATCAAACAGCTCCGATCAGGTAAGATGGATGATAACTGTGTGTAAAAGCATTTCATTTACCGGGGGAACATTTAGGTGCATCTAAGGAATAGCAGGGCTGTTGTGCTGAATGTACTTTTTATTATGTTTGTCTTCAGACTGCAGTGATGCATTCTCATCACTGTGTTTATTTACATCCTCAGGGGCAATAAAAACCCCTTTAAAGCCAATTTCATAAACGGATGATCGACTAAATAAGAATGAAATGGTGTTTTTATTAACATTGGGAGAAAAGATTATAAGAGACGGCACTTTAGAAAAAAGGCACATAAATCTCCTTCCATGGGTGATTATTAATATCAGAGCAGAATTGAAACAAAAAACTTCACGTCTGGCACGCGCTTTTTTAAAGTGATTTGCAGAAAGTTCACACAATTATAAACATAATCCACTTTGGAATAGATATTTAATATAATAATCAATCTTCCTCAGAGCAATTCCCTTTTAATCTCTTTTCAAAATCAATAGAGACAGAGATAGGAGTTTCTTCACATTAGGCATTTAACTGATGCTCCCAGACCCACCCAGCCTGAAATTGTGTGAGATGAGCTCAGTGTCTTAATGTGAATGTGAGATGACTTTGCCAGAGACGTGAGAGGTGGAGGAGGAAAGCTGTGCCCTTCTTTTTTTTTCCTCCTGGAATGGAGTGAAGGAAGGAACGGATCGAGGGAAGAATACAGAAACAATCACATCTTCAGCTTCAGGCAGTTTTTGCAGTTTTTTTTGTTTATGCTCTTCTGTAGAGTTGCTACAGTGTCTTCTGGAGTAGTAGGCAGGCGTGTATCTCTCTGACATTCTCACTCAGCCTTCCTCAGGGAGAATGAAAGTGATGGTGAGGCGAAACCATTTTGTTGTTGCCTCATCCATATTCTCTGTGCTCCTCCATGGAGTCAGCTCTGATATCTCCCTGCTGTCAGCCAATATCCTCCACTGATCACCAGTGCCCTCTGTCAACCGTGTGCCGGTGTCGTCATGCATGGTTTGCTTCCGTGCTCTTGACACACATTCATGATTTGCAAACATTTAAAATCAAAGATCTTTAGATACTAAGAGCCCGTCACCCTCAAACCCTCAAGTCTTCAAGTCCTCCCATTCTTTGTGGCACAGTTTACTGAGGCAACAGTGCCCGATTTATTTTAATGAAGTAAAGTTTGTGGTCATGTCTAAATACATGTCTCACAGGGATGCTGACAAAACAACTTCCCCGCTTTCCTGCCATCGGTTTTAACAGCTGTAATTAGCAGATTTCCACAGCTACTAATTCATGTGAACACGGTCTTGTGCTGACTCAGAGACAGGAACGCCCAATGCAAAATCTGAAATGTGTGAAGGGCACAAGACATCTTGCAAATAAGAAAATTACCAAAGACAGATGGTGCATTTGCTTCATCCTTTTCTCCTCATCCTTTTTAAAGTCAAGACAATAATTGTGCAACAATGAAAGCAAAAAGACATTAACATTATTCAACAGAAATGTAACATGATAGCTTCACAGTTGGAAAAAGTATAGTAAGTAAACAACATTCATCTGTTGCGAAGCAAAAAAAAGTTTTTTTTTTTCTTTTGTCACTGACAGAGGAGAAGGAGCACTTGTTTATCTATACCAATGATAATAAGTAAAAAAGCAGGTTTCATGCAGTAAATGTGAGACGTCTCTTTTTCTCCACAGCTTTCAGTTGTGTCACCCGTTAATAATGCAGTTAATTTTGCTGTCATGAATTTAACGCCACATAGTCTTTTGCTTTATTATTAAAACAATCTCACCGTTACACATCAGATAAGTGTTATCCTATCTCTTTCTTTGTGTATTACTACTTTTTATTATTACTATTAATAACCACCTTGACTTTTATCAACAAGTGAGTCAGCATCTTTCACACCACAACAGTTCTAGTGCAATATTGTCTTCAGGGGCCTTTATTAGATTTGTTCAATTTTGGGCTGTTTTTCAGAGATGCAGTGATGACAAGTGCAAAAAGGCAACGTCCAAAAAGCTGCAGCCAGTGGATGAACTGTCATTTAAAAGGCTCTCTTTTATGAAAGCTAATCTTCTTAACTAAAAGTCAGGGCACCACACTAAATCCTGCAGGGTCTCTTTTGAAGGGCAAGATGCAAGCAATCATTTCAAGGGTGTACAGACGTGTCCACTAAAAAAGTCACTCTAGTTAACTCTGTGAGATAACTTATCACCCGTCCCCAGGGCTCCACTACTCCTGGACCCTTTCAAACAACGTGCATAAAAAAAGCTCACCGTGGCCTAGAAGCAGAGTGAACAGTATGGATCTGCTGTCAGCGCAGTTTAATGTCTGATACTTGGTGATGTGTATGGCTCTAGAGAACACATCGTGTATATATAGATAGTTAGAGAGTTTCATAAAAAAAACTTCACCAGCTTTAATTCCCAATTTAGTTTAGCCCAGAGTAAAGAAAACCTCCTGAGAACGAGCTGCTGCTAAAATCAAAACATCCTCACAGCGTTTTTCCGTATCATTTGAGGATTTTTCAAAAACCGTTGCAGATACTGTTTTGGCCACACATGCTCAGCATGGACGCAATGCGGCGAGTACAAACAAAGCTTTTAATTCCTCAACCGTTCCCAGTATAATTTGAAATAATCCAGTGGTGTGTAAAAAATGGAGGCACCGAGCTGTGATGTGTCCTATAGCCAATGTGTAACTGACTGTGTGGAAAATATCTGCCGCAGAAATGAATGTCGGATCAGGTTTGCTGCCGCAGGGATGCAGGTGAAATTATAGGCTAATAAAAATCATAAGAAACTCTGTTTTGTAAATAACAGCTCTGTTGTCAGCTGTCACTAAACAAACGTCTGAACTCCGCACCTAAAAACTACATTTCCAGAAAAGTCTCTTCAAAAATCTGTCAAATTTTAGTTAGCAGGCAAAGGACCAAGGCTATAAATAAAAATGCTATAATAAAAACACAAACAATCAATTATTATTATTATTATTTTTCTTGTTGTTGTTAATAATACTAATAATATAACATTAATTTACATGAGTATTATATAAAATATAATAATGTTCTTAGTATTTTTAATTGTCACATTATTATAATTATTGTCATTATTATTATTATAATAGATATTGTTTGTTTTGTGCTTTTACAAAAACTCAAAGACAGTAGTAAAATCAATATCAATCATAGGGAACGTAAAAACAGAGTAAAAAGCACTTAGAGCAATTAAAGCCATGTGGGATGAATTATTAACTCTATTGGAGGATAGTGAAAATACAACACTGGAGGTCTTTTCTTCATCCATTTTCTGAAAAACTAACACGCCTCACTGTATCAAAACAGATACCTTTTCATTGCATTTTCAGACAACGTCCCAACTCTGTTGTTCTGTACGTATACGTCATTTTTCCCCCCTTATCTCCTCTGCAGCTTGTCCTCTCCAACACTCATGACACTGATACACGGGCGCTGTATTTTTGTCCTCATATCACATCAATGAAAGAGTAGCAAGACAAATGGCTCGGACCAGATTCAGGGCGGGGTCTTAATAGGATTTCAAATCACCCAAAGCATCACAAAGCTCACCAAGAAAATGCACTGTATAATGAACCAACAGAGCAGTGAAATCATTTGGAGAAAATCAATTACAAGTGAGCCAGGCGCAAAATAGCAGCGAGATGTGTTATGGATGAAACAGTCCTTTAAGATGTGTTTAATGGGGGCAGCTCTGAAGCAATGCCCCTGATTTAGTGGACACCGTCCAGCTCTGTTTGGATCGCGCCCAGGAATCTCTTTAGAGCCACAAACACCGTTGTCCCTCTGACTCTTCTTCTTCTCTCTCTGTCGAGTCTAAGGAAAAGTTCTGTGGCTGCACAGGTCAGGATGAAAAATGATGCCCAGAATGGCTGCGCTCTAATCCTACAAAAGATGACTCTTAGCCATTTTACAGCCCATAATAATCCATCATCTGCAGCCTCTCCCCACTGCAGGGGACTGTCCAAATGATAGCCGTTGGCCGAGGTGAACCCCACGTGTGTATACACCTACATCAAACCTGGACACTCACTCCTCAGCTCAGCTTCTTGGGGGTTACAGGCATATGGTTGTGTATGGATGTGAACTTTTACTGACATATTTATACCTCCACCAAGGCACCCATCTATTTTTCCATGCCATCTGCTATATGTACGTGAGGAGAAGCATGACAAGCTCTCTGTCTATCCCTGACATTTGGGACTGAAAGCGAGCGAGTTTACTTTAAGCGCTAAACAGCCTTGGTAGACCTGCACCCTAACAGATGGCCTGCAATATGGACCCAGGGTCGACTACAGGGTAATAGATGGACCTGTCCAGGCTGAGGAGTGTGATGTGATCAAAGATTGGGCTCACAGTTTAGGACACTTTGATCTAAAAAAGGACAACAAAAAAAAGAATTGCAGTGGAGGAACATATACTTGATTAATTACCTACAATTTAACATTTTGTTTATGTTTTAAGTAGGGCTGTCAAAATTAATGCATTAATCACATTAATTAATTTGTGACTGATTGGGCAGAATGACCTGCACTGAATATTATAACAATTCCACCCTCCATTCACTTCCTGTTGCGCTGATCCACAGTTATTTAAACAGACTGTCGGAAAACTATCATTTCCACATAAACGATGTTGCCAAAAGTATTCGCTCACCCATCCAAATAATTGGAATCAGGTGTTCCAATCATTTTCAACTTCAACTTCAGGCCAGACACCCGGTTGTCTGAATGAGATGTCCGACCCTGGTGAGCACTGCACTACTCATCCTTAGATAGATAGTGGTTCTCAGGTGAAGGGTCAAATGAGCAGCAGTCCTAGTTTTTCATGTACCTTCACCAAACATGAGTTACCATGAGTCTGCAGTACCTCCACCGCCCCCTTAGGGATCACAGACCCCTTGTAAAGACCTGTAATTTGAACCACATATATTATATATATTCCATTAGTTTACATGTGTTTTCTAGATAA